GCCAGTCTTTCTCCAGTTCATCATGTTCAGTATCCCTGAGAGCCATTTAATACTTTACCACCTTTACCTCAGGGTCCTTACACGTGTCCTACCCTATCCCCTGAACTGTTCTTAATCCATATCCTTCATGTGCTAGATTCTCATCATTCAGGTACCAGCCTAAATGTGATATTTGCCTAAGGACATTCTTAACTACCCTCTACCCCACTCATTGCTCTATATGTTCATTTCGTACTTGTTGAAACATGTCAATAGATGTTTCTTTATTTCTTGCTAAAAATTTAACTTATTTGACTAAATTCCAAAAAAGGCAGGGCTCAAGTTTTATTTACTAAATTACAGCCAGCTCCTAACACAGTGCCGAGGACCATTATAGGTGCTCATTAATTATTCTGAAAGAAACAATGCTTTTCTCCAGATGATTATTTTTCCCAAATTAGCTTTAAAACTTAATTCTGGTATCATGATGACCAGCAAATGGTTTCTAGCTCATAACTCTCCTCTTGTAGAAAGGCTTAACACATACCAAATATCACAATAAAACAAGCAGAAAAAAAAACCCATTGCCATCCAGTTGATTCCAACTCACAGCAACCCTATAGGGTAGAGTAGAACTGCCCCATAGGGTTTCTAAGGCCATCATCTTTATGAAAGCAGTCTGCCACATCTTTCTCCTGAGGAGTGGCTAGTGGGTTGGAACCGCCAACCATTCCATTAGCAGCCAAGCGCTTAACCACTGTACCACCAGGGCTCTAATATCACAATACTTTACTAAAATGACTTTAGTTATTTACTTTTTTCTGTCTTCCTGGTTTGAACAGTTAACCTGAATAATAAAGAGATAAAGAAAACAACTTAAGAACATATATTTTAAGAAGCGCTTAATTTTACAATTTAGAAAATCTCTTTACTTAAAATTTCAACAATTATTATAGGGATAGTATTTGTTTTTGTTATTTTTCTTGATATTTTTTCAGTATATGATTTTTATTGCTTGTTACAGATAACTAGTTCATCATGATTTCTACAAGAAGGCCACTCTACCACTTGCATAGCAACCTCTTTGCCCTGTGTAATGAATGGTCTCGTATTGAGTAAAGACAGGTTTGATGTTTTTGTGACCACATGTTACTACATACTAAGATGTCAAAGCACAATAATCCTAGAAGACTAAATAGCATAAAACACGTCAAGAAGAATAATTAATTGTAAAACCCTCTTCCTGTAATATTTAGGATTCTATGGCTAAAGTGGCATAATTCCAAATTAAATTAATTTTCTTTTTAAAGTAAAGTTGTTGTTCGTATATCAGGAAAATCCAGTGGTAAATTTGGTGTCAGACATAACTGGACACAGTATCATCTATGATATTCTCTCCCTATTGCCTGGTGCTGTCTTCTTCTTTAGCAGACCCACTTCTAGTGCAGGCAAGAAGACCAGCCGAAGCACCAGATGTAAATTTTTAAGTTTAGCCCCAGAGAAAATAAGAGCTGTTCTCTCTTAGTATGTCCAGGAGTCATCCTGACTCTACCAACTTGGGTAACTTATTCATTCTTGAACCAAACAGTGTCCAGGCCTGAGTCTCACTCCCATTGCTGGACCTGAGTGTTAGCCCCACCCAAACATGAACTGTCAAAGGGAAGAACGGCTCCCCCATGGAAAATAAGGTGCTCTTCCAGCAAGTAACAGTCTAAGATGCCCAGGAGGCAAAAACAACAAATACTGAACATACTTATTCATAATAAATAAAGCCATAATTCATTTCTAGTGAAAATGTATTTATTCATACATAAATACTATGTTCATACTCTTGAATTATAGTTTATGGCTCCTGATTATTTCTATATTGACTGTGACTGTGGCTTTTATTCTATACCTGCTTTTTTTTTTTCTTTTGCAGGCTCATTTTCAATTTCTTTTGTTCAGTTTATGATCCAGAATTCTTTACATTTGTCCTTTTACATAAAAGCCATATTTCTCAGTTTCACAGACACAGGACAGAGACAAAATGGAAAGGCAATAGCAGGGCAAATCAGTTTTTTTTTTTCTTCTCTTTCTTTCTTTTTTTTTTTTTGTGTGTGTGGAGTTTGGGGAAATGACTGGAATCTGCACATATTGGAAGACTGAGAAGAAGCTGTTGTGAGAGGGTGAGATTAAACTTCCTAAAAGGGCATAATCCATTATGGAGAAGAAATACATAAGCAAATAACTCCTAGTGTTTCTTACCCTTTAGATATCATAAATATTTAAGTAAAGCAATTAAAAATCATTTATTTTGCTTTCATGTTCTAAAATGTCAGCAACACTTCAGCTTCTCCATGTAAATCAACGCCTCCTCCCCTCGATTTTCCTTAGAGGTCAATTTACTCTCTAAATTAGGATCAGACTTCATATACCTCCATCTCATAGACCACTGGTCATAGAGTCATTGAGTTGTAATTAAATTAAATCCCCATCATAGATACTGTAAAATTAATATCCACAGTTCTACTCAATACTATGTAGTAAACTTCAGAAGGGGATACCTATTGTATACTATGATTGAGGTTAAAAAAAAAATCTTGAGTTTTAAAGATCTCATACTAACGTTGACTGGATTTTCAGAGTTGGAGTCTTGCTCCCTTTTCTAATCTTGAATCAGCAATAATTTCTTCTCACTGTTTTGGTTTGCATGCCTGTAGACTCAATTACGTTGATTCCCTAGTCCACTATTTCATTATTTGATTCTAAAATTGTATACCTCTATTGTATACCTCTATTTAAGTAACCTAAACATGGAATTCATCTGTGGCTCGTTTGTCTAGCCTTTCTACTGTTAATGGTTTCTTTGGAGCTAGTCGTTTTCCCTGAATATGTTAGCTTATCTGTAGTTGGATGCCTCTGCAATTTGAGGGGTGTTTCTGTCACCTTTGCTTTGCAGTACTGCTTTGCATTTACACACCTCCCAGATGGATGCCTTCTTAAGTTTAATTATCATTCAGCTTATCCTCCATTCCAACATCATTTATGAAAATGTTAAATAAGACCAGCCACAATACCTATATCCCTGAAGCACACTCCACAACACTGCTTCTTGATGCATTGCCATTTATCATTAAATTCCTTTAGCCAATTTAAGTCCCAGGAAGAATGTTAATATTGAATCCAATTTGAGCTATATTTTAATTAAGATTTCCTGTGACATTGTGTTAAGTGATTTATTATAATCAAAATTGATATCTCCTCTGCTACCCCCAACCTCTAATTTTTTAATTTTAGCTGCACACAAAGGAGAATGAGTTTATCTGGCTTGAATAGTTCTCCATAAATATGCATCATTCATTTTGACTATTGCTGCAAATAGTTTCCTTCTCTTTTGCCTTTAGGACTGTCTGTCATTCTCATACAAGTCCCAGAATCATTTTAAGAAATGTCTTTCCTTCTGTCAACCACATCTGTCTATCCCCAAATACCCAATCTCAGGACTTAGTTGCTTTAATTCCAGTCTCTCAAATTCCTTTCTGTTTTTTCTTCTCAGCTATTCTTGTTGCTATTTCTGTGTACATTGTCATTTTAAATGTAGAGCATAATAAAAATAGAAATATAATATGCACAATATTTCCCTTAAGCATTTTGGCATGCATAAAGTACTTGGTTTAGATTTCCTCAGGATATTAGACATGCACCTTCAAATGGACCATTTATTAACATGAGGTCCCTGAAACTGAATTCAAGTTTCAAGGTAAATGAATACATTCCTTTTTTTTCTAGGAAGTGTGCCAGAGTTTCTGCCAAATCCCAGAAGTGTCTGTGATACCCAAGTAGATTAAGAACTACTACTTTAAAGCAGTAAAACTCAGGAATTAGAAAAATACAAAAAATAAAAGAAAATATCAGTAAATAAGAACAATTTTTTCATAAGTTTATTCATTACAATTATGCTTATTTTCTTTAGTCAGAAGAAAACTTTTGTTTTTCCCTTTTGTGTAAACTAAGACAATTTTCATCTTCTCTGTCCATCACTTTCTATGATGAAAAGAGAAAATTCTGTGAATATATGTAGAATTCCTGTTATAATATTTCCTCCTGGGATCCATTTTTATTTATTTCTTTTCTCTTAAGTAAATGCGTATTTATCAGGAAATCAAGGGCCCTTATATAATAAAATAAGTAATTATTACCTTAATTCTGCTTTATAAAATTAATAATAGCTCTTCTGTTTTTACACATAATGGCCCAAATATAATGTTTAACTGTTAGATACAAGTTTCTCCAAAATGGTTATAAACATATGCAACATTAGCCTTATAGATGTTTGTGTCATATCATTTCAGGGACTCTATATAGATTTTCTCTCCTCAAAAAATATTTTATGGGCTACATTAGCCTTGGTATTCTCCAACTGGTGATGCATTTATCTGATTTTGACTAGAGCTTGACAGTCCTTTATAAGTCAGTATGCACAGGATTACAAGTGTCTTTCCTAAAGCCAATTGTAAATAAGGACAGGATAAGAGAGTCTCTGGGAGACTGGACAGAAACGATTATGGATTAAAAAAAATGAGAGCAAAAGGAAAAATAGGAGTAGTAAGGCAAACATCAGGCATTTTATTTTTCCAGGTCTTAGTCTGTAGCAATATGTGTTTACATGCCAAGAACTAGAGGTAAGATAGAAAAAAAAAATTTAAAGTTCCTATAGAGACATTAGATTTTCCGTTAGGACTTTCCTCTTTTCTTCTTTGTTAAATTAAAATAAAGATAATATTCAAGAACCAAAAACTTTTTTTTCTTATCACCCTCACAAGAAAAAAAAAAAAATAATAATCCAGCTGTGATTGCTTCAGTATCATAACAGAACACAGTAGTCTCCGTTCAAGAAAACAAGAGTATATGTGCCAAGAAAACTTTCTTTACTTTTTTTTTTTTGTCTTTGAAAGCAGTCTTCTTTTGTTGGGAGAAAAATGACACAAAGGTGAAAGGTTGAGTCCCAAGAGGATTTATGTTGTGATTTTCAATTCCAGCTCACTGCAATTGACGCGGATGAAGGGTCAAATGGGGAGATCACATATGAAATCCTGGTTGGGGCTCAGGGAGACTTCATCATCAATAAAACAACAGGGCTTATCACCATCGCTCCAGAGGTGGACTTGATAGTCGGGAGGACTTATGCGCTCACTGTCCAAGCAGCAGATAATGCTCCTCCTGCAGAGAGAAGGTAATTTATGTTAAAACCAGTGCTGTCTTTTCATCACTCCCATTTAACCCCGTAATTAAATTTAAGAAACGCAGCAAGCATTCTTTTATCCTCTAAACATCTAAATTAGATCAGAAAATCAGAGGGACCAGATTCTCAGGAACTGCATATTCCTTTTTGATTAAATTGTGGGGAAAGGACAATAAAGACAAGATTAAACCACAAAATAATTAACTATGATTTCACAGTTGCAGAGGATATAGGTTTCTGTGGTAGGTGGGAACTGGGAAATATCAGAGGCATATTTCCAATTTATTACTGCAAAGCAAGATTGCTAACAGTGAGAGAAGGGCTCTTTCCTTCAAAGAAACTAACAGATCTGCCAATGGCAAGTAATGTCTCATCATTTTGAAGCCACCTCTAGTGTCTGGATGCTTATTCATATCACATATATAAAGATTTCCAACTACTCAAACCAAACCTATCTAGTTCCTCACCTGCAATATACCCTTTATTCATTTCTTATTTATTTCCAGGTTTTGTGTATGCATTTCAAGAAAATATAATGAATATAAACACACTCTTGCACCTTGATTTCTTTTCTTTTTTTTTCCTTCACAATGTATCTTGGGGATCTTTCCATATGAACATTGGATAACTTTCTCAATTGTTGTTCACAGCTCCATAATGTTCCTTAGATGTAATACGGTTTATTTAAGAAGTCTGTTATTGAGAGACATTTCAATTTATTCAGTCACTTCCTTTTACTGACCATGAAGAAATAAACAATATCACACATGTATCTGTTTTTTTAATAATTTCTACATGTTCAATTTAGTGATAGAGATTACATTCTTCGAGTTGTACGACCATTCTCACCCTCCTTTTCTGAGTTGTTTCTCCCTCATTAACATAAACTCACTGCCCCCTAAGATTCCTATCTAATCTTTTGAGTTGCTGTTATCCATTTGATCCCATATAGATCATTCTTAAAAGAGCATAATGCTCAAGGCAGAACTTTTTTACTAGTTAAGCTATTTTTCAGTTTTAAGAAGACTTCAGGGGTTATTTTTGGTTTAAGGCTTAAAAATCTTTAAATATCTTAAAAATCTTTAACTATCTCAGGGCAAGAGTTTCAGAGGCTCATCCATCCTTCACGGCTCCAGAACACATGCATCATTTTGAATGTGTGCAAGTATATCAGTAGAGTACATTGGCAGCACTGAGATCAAAGGGTATATGCAATTGTAAGTTTTATGGATTCCTATCAAATGCCTTCTATGGGCCTTCTGACAATTTACAATTCCAGCTGCAAAGTCTGGGTCCTCTGGAACATTTATGAAGACACTTATAATGTGGGTGTACTGAGAAGGCTTCCTAAACAAGAAGAGTTTAGGAGAACGTGTAAGAGTTACCCAGTTGAAGAAAGTATGTGCCATTATTTACACAGCCTAAGACGTCTGAGATATCCTGGTGTTTGTGGATGATCACAAGCTACTCAGTGTTACTAGTGCATAAACTGTGATCCCAAGGAGGGGCAAGAGACTCAAGGGCCATATCACTGGAATTCTAGTATATTTTGCTAAGATGCTTAGACTTTAACCAGTCAGTGAAGGAAGTCTTTGAGCAAGGACTTTAAATTGGAAAGACATGTGAGAAGATGTCAGTTTCTGGAAAGTCACTCAGATGTCCATATGGAAGATGGATTTGATAGGGACAAAAGTGGAAGTCAAAAAGTTAGGTAGAACACCACCATAGAAAGATTTTAGGAGAGAGAGATGTTGCTGACGACTTGAACTGGGCATGTTAGGAACAATGTAGAGAAGGTGACAGAGAGGACACATGTTACATTGCAAAGTTGTATAATGATCAGGGAGATGGACTTGTCAAGAAGAACTTCCAGGTTTTTGTCTAGGATGACTGAGTGGTGATGATTCCAAGACTGTGAACATGATTTGTGTGAAAGGGATGAGTTCAATTTCAGACACGTTTAGTTGGATATGACTATAGTAAATATATTCAAAAATCAAATAGATGTGCATACTTGAACCTGAGAAAACAATTAAGGGCTGTTTCTTGTGAAGAAATATATAAAATATTTTTATATATTGAGTTGTTACAGAATCTAAAATAAGAGTCAAATACATTTGAATAAATTTTAAATAAATAGCTCCGTTCATGCTGGGCCATTCTGAAAAGCAGTTAAAGATGATTGGTACCATTTGTTGAGCATGCACAAGGACCAGGCACTATGCAAGCTACTTTATAAACATCATTTTCAATCTTAAAAACATTTTAAATTTTGCATCATTATGCTTATTTTTGCAGACAGGAATCTAAGGCTGAAATAGGGTAATTGGCTTGCTTAGGTCCCTCAGTAATTATGTGGTAGAACGGTAACTTGAACTCAGGGCTATTGCATTTCATAACTTTCTCCCCCACTGTGTTTAATATTCTTTACCTTTTGTAATTACTATTCTGGAGAAAAACTACTAAACTTGCTTAAAGCAATACTAATAATGGTAAAGAAGGTTAAAAGTACCCTTTTTCTTAATTTAAACTTTCATTAAAACCTCTTAATATTCATCAATTTATCTTTTACTATTTTTTTAATCAAAGATAATTTGATTCTAAATCAAGTCTGACTACACATGCTTACCTATTATGATTTACATGATTTATCAGTTTTTTGATTGTTTAATGATTGAGATGTTATTATCCACTTCTTGCTCAGTTCTTATTTACAAGTCATATCAATGATTTGCATAGATATGCTGCTACCTATGATAGTCAGTACAATAATAGGTTTTTACTTGAATAAAATTGCATTCCACTCCAGGAAAAAAAGTGCCATCTTCAGAATCTGAGTATATAGGTCTTTTCAGTGCCACCATGCATTTAGTTGACCTAAACTCACTGTTTTCCTTGTAGACAATGGCTTGGACACTGAAAGATCACTTTATAATGCTTGGTCAAACATCAAGTGGAACCTGCAAGAATAAAACCCATATACCTCCATTCTACCTGCTGGGATGTCATGGTTGCTGTAGGATAATGACATTTGCTATTTTCTAGTAGGAAATTAATCTTTCAAATTGAGTTGATGAATGAGCTGAAGAGTTGTGATGCTTTGCTTTCAGTATTTCCTTTGGAAGGAAAATATTATTTACATTATGAACATAACAGTATAGATTGTGATAACTGCTATATACTTTACATATTGACCTAGCAGCAACCATGACATATAAACCTAATTCAATAAAATACAACAAAAATTATAGAGCACCATTCAGGATGTGGACCATTTTCTATATTTTTCTTTTCATATTGACAACTTCAGTTCATAAATTTAAATGACACTGACTCTCCAGATAAAACCTACATGAATGAACTATTTATGTATTTGTTACTGTTTAGGAAAACTACGAAAAATTCAGAGATTGAGAGTGTGGATAAATCATAACAATTTTTTTGTTTGTTTGCTTTTAGTCTTTGGTAAGCATAAGAGGACAGATAAAAACCAAAAGACTAAAAATGTCATAAGATATTTTGGCATATAATATACTCAAGTGGTGTGTGTAGGTCTTTTACTTATTTCATTCAATTAATTGTGTAAATATTTAATCCAAATATGAATAAAGTACTATTAGGTATTTATGAAGATATAGAGATTAAAAGACAATCCCTGCCCCCAATAAAATTAAAAACATGATAACATGATTGAAGTCTGGCATTTCATACTTTTTTGTGATTCCCAACGTTTTTTTTCATAGAATCCAAGGCTGTACCTAACTAGCACAAGATAAAAGAATCGCTTCTCAAAATAAAATTAATTTTTCCATTCTGAGTATATGTATATGAATATGTATATTCTTTTAAAGAAATTTACATGAAGTATTTAACACTAATAAATAATGGGGGTATTTTATTATTCATTCATTTAAGAAAAATGTCCTGAGTTCCCACAAATCTTAGTCTCTCAGGGAGGGCGTGAAGATCTAAGAGAACATCTCTGTCCTCATGGCATTCATATGGAGGTATGTGTAAACTTAGACTTGCAGTAGTAGATAAATACATGATATAGGGGTTGCTCAAGTAAATGAATCATCTATTATACAAGGGATATGTGTGGATGAGAAAAACTACAGGCGAAAAAAAAAACAAAACTCATGCTTGATGTTGACCTAAAAAATTTGTGGGTTCACCAGTTGGATAGGAATCAGAATGGGATTTCCAAGCAGAGGGAATAACAAGAGCAAACTTATGGAGACATGAAAGAGCACAAGGTGTTGTGGGGAGGATGTATGGCTTGGCACATCTGATCATAACACTGCCCTGATTAAAATCTATTAATCAATTCCCATTGTTGTAAAGTTTAAATCAATATATGAGTGCCAGAATGATCTGGCCCTTGCTCAGCACTGTATCTTAACTCCTACTACAACCCTATTTATATTCTTCTTTTTAGTCCTATTAAAACTATAATTCCTTGTTTATTGCTCTGTGAATTTGCACACGCTTTTTCTTCTGCCTGCAATGCCCTATGTTTTAACACATAAATACAACTTGCGTTAAAGTCTGCCTTGGAATTTCCCCTGAGAAGTTTTCTCCAACCTTTCAGTGTTTTAAATCCAAAGTCTTTGCTTCTATAGATCCCTCTACGTACATCCAAAATAAAGAAATAGAGCCTATGAATGTTGCACTCTAACTGTAGCTTTTCTAGCATAATGTTGGTGAGAACTATGGGAAACAGAAGAAGGTAATTCCTCTATTTTCAAGTCTACTAGGGAAGAGCTCAGCTGCTAACCAAAAGGTCTACAGTTTGAATTCACCAGCCACTCCTTGGAAACCCTGTGGGGCAGTTCTACTCTGTCCTGTAAGATCATTATAAGGTAGCTATGAGTCAAAATTGACTCGATGGCAATGGGTTTGGTTATGTTTTTCTTTTTTAAAGAAACCAATATTAACATTTATAACCATCCTAGAAATAAGGTAGATTGTAGAGCTATACACAGGCACCTTGTAGCACATACTTGCACATTAATAGCAAATTACAAAACAGAGTGCACATCCTCTACAAGCCAGTAAAATTATCTCATTACTACTGAATACTATTCTCAGAAACATTTGACTCTTTGTTTTTTTTAAATTACACCATTTTCCAGGTTAAAGCAACTTTAATGTATCTTCCCAAACTAGTCTGTATTCGTATTTTATTTTATTCTTGCAATAAATGCTACGGCAGAAGCTTCGTTCTTGGAATAAAAATTAAAATTAATTGTTACATCATAGCCTGAGTCCAAGACCTGAAATAATTTATGGTTTCCTCTAGGATAATATGCTTCATTACATGCCGGGGCGTTTTATACTCACATACGGAAACATACGCTTCAGATTAGTGAAAATTTTCCAATTTACTTCTCACATCTATTCTTGTGAGATGTTGGGAGAAAGGGTAAACAGATTTAAAATCCAGAAGCCTTTCTTTTAGTTTTGTCTGCTGTTGCTAATTAACATTTAACCTGAGTCAATTGCTTAAACTTTCTGACTTTCTAATCTTCTTTTGTAAAATGAGACAGTTAAATTTGATGGGTTCTAGGTTCTTTTAAAATCTCAAGATTATCTGAGAAAATACATTACGTTTCTTATTCTACTTTGAACTTCATTGCCAAATGAAAAAAGAAAAGCTTTATGATTTTCATTTTTAGAATTGGAGATTTATCTGCATCAAGCTGACTATATTAGAAAAATAAAATTGGTATTATATAGATGCTCAGTTTTATGCACTTAGGACTATTAAATGTAAATACAAAATACATAAAAAAATTATTATTTATCTAGTGACCGCTCTATGTTATTGTGTGCTTAACTGATGCTATTGAATTACTACTATTTATTACTACACTAATGCTATCATCTTATTGTTAATGCTATTGGTATTCAATTTTAGGAAAGCTAACTCTGACACAATGCTGATATCAGGGATAAAATGGAGATAGCATTTTAAAAGGCAGTAACCCTCAAGAAGGTTGGTACTTATTTAAGCACATTGTAGGGAAGTGCTAGGGTGTTGAGGATGAAAAATGGCGAGACCTTGAAAGATAATCTTCCCCAAATAACTCTAGCATCCAAATCCTAGAAAAAGAAAATAATTAGTAATTTTGTCATTTGAATTTTTGTGAGAAAAGACAGAGAAAGGAAAGGAGTAAGGTCAGATGAAGATGATGGCTGTGTTGGGACATAGTTGTTCTCTGTCCTCTGCCTTGTGCCGAGGTCCTTTTTGGTTGAGCATTCTAAAGTTTTATTCCCTGTGGCAAATTCACAAGTGCTTCACGCAAGTTAGAGGCCCTTATTGTAGGATTGTGGGTGGAAATAGTTCTTATTTTAATCCTCTAAAATGGAAAAATAGTCAAAGGGGAAGAATAAGGAAATACCCAAAGTATAACTGGTTTAGTGTAAACTAGATTTTAATGACCCACAAAGACTGATACTGTTGTAAAGACCTTATAAGGTATTCCGGAACCAATAAGCTGAAGCTCTAATGAATATTAAAAGCTGAAAGGGTCTAACTGATGAAAATGTATGAAATTGGAAAAGGGGCGTGATCCAGGTCAAAAAATGTTAATTAGTTAGGGAATCTCTTGCCTCCAGGGCTATTGAAAAGAGCGTTAGGGTAGTTTGTAAAGCAATCCCCTGGGCTGCTTATTTAAAAAGCAGATTCATCTCTATATTATACTCTCCATTCAAGCTTCTGAGGCAGTGGTTTTCAAAATCTAGGGTGGTTAAGTAAAAACCTTATAAATCTGTGGAAAATATAGATTCTTAGATTCCTCCCCAAGAGATTCTGTCTGATTCAACATGTTCAAACCCTGACTCCATCACACTCCACTGTGGGGAGTGGAAGAAGTACCTTGCCCATATGTCTTAGTCTAGAAAAGTAAAAGGATGTAATTGAATGTTTAAAATATTAGACTATATGAATAGGATAAGTGCAAATTTATTAGTCGCATTTCATACAACAAAATTAAAAGCCATATTTTGAACACTTATCAACATTAATTATGTTCATATTCATATATGTTTATTGTTGTTGTTGGGTGCCACTGAGTCAATTCCAGCTCATATTGACCCCATAGGATAGAGTATAACTGCCCCATAGGGTTTCCTAGGCTGTAATCTTTAAAGGAGCAGGTCTCGAGGTCTTTTCTCCTGTAGCGCGCTCGTAGGTTCCAACCGCTGATCTTTTGGTTAGCAGCAGAGCGCTTATAGTCTCATTTAATTCTCATGATAACCCTTTAAAAGAGATGGTATTATTATTTTCATTTAACAAGTGAAAATACTGAAGTTCAGAGAAATTTTCTGAAGATCACACAGGGATAGTATCAAGGTTCTAACACAGGGTCATCTGGGTTTAAATTCCATGCTCAACCACTCAGCTAGGGTTGTTACCAACATGGAATAGAACAGATTTATAAAATATTTGAATAACTTGATGAATAAGACATGCTAAAAGAATCTAGCATCTTCAAGGTAATATTGGAGGTATAGTGCATTTTTGATGTGCTGTTAGCACAAGATCATCAGTCTAGGAGGATTATAGATTTAGCACAAAATGACGATTCCTTTGTTCCCACAACATGGTAATTGAGACTCTGTAATGCATGTTAAATTTTTACCTTCCTTTTATTTTTTCCCATCATATTTTTCTTTTACTTCTAGCCATTATAAGACTAATACCTATAAGTTCATATGGAATATTTTACAATTTATTTTAATTTACTCTAGACTTTCCACTCTTAAAGTTTCAGTTGTTTAAAACAATTATTTAAAAAAAGCAAAGAAAAGCTATTAGATTTTGATTAATTTTATTGGCAAATTTTAATAATAAGGCGATAAAAATTAGAAGCAGGAATGGTTACAGTTATTTTAATTGATTATAAAAGTCTGTTGGTTGTGGTGTTGTTAGGTGCTGTTGAGTCAATTCCAACTCATAGTGATGCCACGTGATAGAGTAGAGCTGTCCCATAGTGTTTTGTTGGCTGTAATCTTTACAGAAGCAGGTGTTTCTTCCTCAGAGCTCCTGGGTGGATTCAAACCACCAAGTCTAAGAGATTTTAATTTAAAATAACTTTGTTTTAGAACAACGCTGTGATAAATGAAATACGAAATTCTTTAAAGTCACTGCAGTTTATAGAGATGCTTAATATTGTATAGGTATCATACTGTCTAATATGGATATGCCCAGAAACAACTTGGATTCAGAAGTATTATAAGGTGATATACTATAAAACCAATTCTCAGTGCCCACAATCTGCAGTTCTCTCAAAAGCTTTTCTAAAAGTAGAATGTAAGTAGTATAATGATATCAGAAAAATATTTTTGAAGACTATATCTTTTAATTGAGGCTACTTAATAAAAATGGCTTGTGACTATTTTAAGAAGACTCTAGTCTCCAAATTAAAATCATAACAAATATGTTTTGAATAAAAGCATCGTGATTTTGTTAGGATGATGTTAAAGCATATAACTCAGGGAGCGTTGGTGTGTTTGCATAAAAGTGTTATGTATCTATAAGTGCTTCAAGCGAGAGGACATTAGCTTTGTAAATTTCCAGGTTTTATGAATATATTTTAAATAGTTTCTCTTCTTTAAAACTTTGAATGTCTTGCTTCTTCAGCTTTCATTGTGTTAAGAAATTTCAGAGTTCAGAGATATCGAACAAATCGATACATCAGCGCAAATATTTCCCTTCTTATAATAATAGAGTATCTTCTTATCCCTCGAAAAATTCACTATTAACTTTAAATCTAACAGCTAGCTTTTCATATTATACTTTTAAAAGAAAATTTTAAATATATGTATTTAGTTTTGTTTGCAACTATTCCATACAAGGGTTATTTTATGATCCTGACTTCTGACATGCATTGACGTTATGCCATTGATGTTAGCAACAGAACACAGCTCATATTTTGCTTTGTGTGTTATTTTAATCAATACTCCCTCTACTGGTTTAATAGGCAGAAAGCCCCAGGACAGCTCATATTACCATATGTTTGTAGAATGTTTTTTGCTATTAGAGAAGCATTAAAAAATAAAGTCAGAAATCAAGGGAAGTTAATTTATGAGCTTTATTTGTACAGCTATTCCTGTTCAATTTGCACTATTAATCTCAGTACTGGAGCTAATTTCTTTCCTTTTACTAAGATAGTTTCATAAAGAACATTATTTTTTAGTAGTAGCTTTTATTTTTCTATCCTTTCACTCTGAATTATTATTTTCTATAAAAATTTGAAATTTCCTGTCTTGTAAACTGAACAACTGAATAGTGATAGCAGTCCATTGTTAAATGCAACATAGATTTTACTCATTTTGTTCACTTCTCTTTCTCTGCAGGCACTCCATCTGCACTGTGTACATTGAAGTGCTTCCTCCAAATAACCAAAGCCCTCCCCGCTTCCCACAGCTGATGTATAGCCTTGAAATCAGTGAAGCCATGAGGATTGGTGCTGTTTTATTAAATCTACAGGTATGCTTCTTGGTATATATATGAAATTCTATAGCAACACCCTTGAAGATTACAGACTTTATATTTGTTCATATATAGAAAAAACTTGCATAGCTGTTTACACTATGTTGCTGTTGTTATGTTTACACGATAGTGAATGAGAATTCCATGTGGAAAAGAAAGCAGGGGTAATATGGATGGAAGGTTTTCATGGCTTATCTATTTTATTGATTGCCACAATTGAAGAACTAATGTTTGGCAGGCAGGGATTAGCTGCAAATCATTACAGGAGAAAATGAAAGTATTGGAAACATGTGCTTGAGTATTTAGTACTTTGCATCCAAAAAGTCTGCAGGTGACTATTACTTTCTGCCTTGGGTTTCTTTGCTTCAGCAAGATTTAATTCTGCTTCAGTGTTGTATAGGGCAAATAATCTTAGACTGAAAGGCTGATGGTGGGCATTCTGATTCTGAAACAGACTATACTTAAGTCTGTGGCTGTGGACAAATCCTGTAATTGCTGTGCATCACTTTATTCTTTCAGATGATGGGTATAGGTTTAGCTGATGTTTCCATTAACAGCACAAGATTCATGGGCATACAAGTTACTTGCAAAATGAAAGCTTGCTCTTTACTATTTATATATCCCTAACCAAAGCATATTTGGGAAGGGAAGGCTATCTCTTTGAATATGCATCTTCAAGTTGTACTACATACATTGTCAAAGAAGCTGCTGTTCCCGATATGGTTTTACTGCTTAAACAAATTAATACATCTGCTGGTACCTGGTATGAAGCTATTAATCAGCCCATGCCTTTTTCTCAATTCTGGTTTCAAAGGAACACCAGAAGCAGTTTGCCTTCAGCTGGCAAGGCCAGCGGCATACCTTCACTGTCCTACCTCAGAGATATATCAGATCTCCAGCCCTGTCATAATTTAGTCCACAGGGACCTTGATCACCTTTCCCTTCCACAAGACATCACAGTGGTGGTCTTGGTTATCTAGTGCTGCTGTAACAGAAATACCAAAAGTGGATGGCTTTAACAAACACAAGTTTATTCTTTCACAGTCTGGTAGGCTAGAAGTCTGAATTCAGGGTGATAGCTCCTGGGGAAGGCTTTCTCTCTCTATCAGCTCTGGAGGAAGGTCCTTGTCATCAATCTTCCTCTGGTCTAGGAGCTTCTAAGTGCAGGGATCTCACGTCCAAAGGATGCGCTCTGCTCCTGGCACTACTTTCTTGGTGGTATGAGGTCCCTCTGTCTCTCTGCTCACTTCTCTCTTTTATATCTCAAACGAGATTGACTTAAGACACAACCTAATCTGGTACATTGAGTTCTGCCTCATTAACATAACTGCCTCTGCTCTTGCCTCATTAATATCATAGAGGCAGGATTTACAACACATAGGAAAATTACATCAGAAGACAAAACGGTGGGCAATCACATAATACTTGGAATCATGGCCTAGCCAAATTGACACATATTTTTGGGGGACACAGTTCAATCAATAACATTCCACCTTTGGCCCCCCAAAATTCATGTCATTGCCATATGTATAACATATGCACCCCATTATTTCATAGTAAAGGTCTTAATTCAACTCCATGTCCAAAATCCAAAAATTCCTCTTCATCTGTGAAATCTAGAACACAAGTTATCTGCTTCCAAAGTACAATGGTGGAACAAGCACAAGCTAGACATTTCTATTACAAACGGCAGAAATTGGTTGGAAAGAAGGAATAACAGCCATGAAGCAAGTCACAGAACACTTTACATTAGCCTCAAGGCTTGAAAATAATACTCTGTTCTGTGAAACCATTGACACAATGGCCCTGCCCTCCAGACTCTAGGTATAGGTATTGACCACACTCTCCAGATTCTGCATGGAGGCCCCTCAGCCCTGGGCTTCAGCTCTGCCTTCCAGACCCACAGGAATGGCAACTCTGCTCCCTGGGCTTTGGGACCCCATTCTCCTAGTCCATCTGAGTGACAACTCCACCCTTTGAGACTGAGGCAGGCAGCTCAGCTTCCTGTGTTCCTTATCTCTTCAGCTTTTGCTTACTGGTTCCTTGGCCTCTTGGCCCTTGGGGCCTCACTGCCCACATCTGCCTTGCTGGGGCAAGTGTTCCAAACCTTTTCAGCTCCACCGAAAAGTGCCTGTAGGCACCCTACTCCGCCAGTAAACTTCCACCAGAAGGCACTCAGTTCTCTTGCTCTGTGGATTGGCAAGCCTAGCTCCACTGACAAGTGCTCTGAGGTACCCCACTCCATCAGAAAGCCTCCTGCACAAAGGCACTCAGCTCTCTAGCTACATGGGTTGGCTCTAGCGCCATCTCTTGCTGGTCTCTTGATTCTGCTGCTACTGCCTTTTCTCTACTGCTACCATTTCTCTGATGCTCCTTCTTGCCATCTACACCATCAGCAGTGTAACAGCTCTCCTCATTTCCTTTTGAGTCCTCACCATAATTGTCTGACATCCATAATTCCACCAACAGCTTCTTCAAGGCAATCTAGGCTTTTACTATTCTGCACTTTGAAACTCTTCCAGCTTCTAACCATTCACAGTTTCAAAACTGCTTCCGCATTTTAGGTATTTGTTAGAGCAGCACCCCACTTTCGGTATGAAATTCTGTCTTAGTTATCTAGTGCTGCTATAACAGAAATACCACAAGTGGATGGCTTTACCAAACGCAAGTTTATTCTCTCACAATCTAGTAGGCTAGAAGTCCAAATTCAGGGCGTCAGCTCCAGGGGAAGGCTTTCTCTCTCTGTTGGCTCTGGAGGAAGTTCCTTATCATCAATCTTACCCTGGTTTAAGAGCTACTCAGTGCAGGGATCTCAGGTCCAAAGATGCACTCTGCTCCTGGCACTACTTTCTTGGTGGTATGAGGTCCCCTTGTCTCTCTGCTCGCTTCTCTCTTTTATATCTCAAATGAGATTTACTTAAGACACAACCTAATCTGGTAGATTGAGTTCTGCCTCATTAACATAACTGCCTCTACTCTTGCCTCATTAACATCATAGAGGCAGGATTTACAACACAGAGGAAAATCACATCAGAAGACAAAATGGTGGACAATTACACAATACTGGGAATCATGGCCTAGCCAAGTTGACAGATATTTTGGGGGGATACAATTCAATCCATAACACTAGTTGATAAAATTGATGAAATTAGGCTGATTGGACCTAGTAAGGAAGTAGCGTCAATGACTTTGGACTTACTGGTAAAATATTTGTGTACTAGAAGGTGGGAAAGTGGGAAATTAATCTGACAAAAATTCAGGCACCTTTCACTTCAGTGAAATTTCTGAGTCCAGTGGTGTGGGTCATGTCAAGATATTCCTTCTAAGGTGAAGGATAAGTTATTGCATCTGGCCCCCTCCCACAACTAAAAAGGAGGCACAATGCCTGGTGGGCCTCGTTGGATTTTGGAGGCAGCATATCCCTCATTTGGGTGTGCTATTGTGGATTATTTATCAAGTGACTCAAAAAGCTGCTAGTTTTGAGTGGGGCCCAGAACAAGAGAAGGCTCTGCAACAGGTTCAGGCTGCTGTGCAGGCTGCTTTGCCACTTGGGCCATGTGATCCCATGTGATCTAATTATGCTTGAAGTGCTGGGGGCAGATAGAGATGATGTTTGGAGTCTTGGCAGGCCCCTATTGGTGAATCACAGTGCATACCTTTAGGATTTTGGAGAAAAGCCCTGCCATGCTCTGCAGATAACTACTCTCTTTTTGAGAAACAGCTTCGGGCTTGTTACTGGGCCTTAGTAGAGACCGAAAACTTAACCGTGGGCCACCAAGTCACCATGTGGCCTGAGCTGTCCATCATGAGCTGGGTGTTGTCTAACCCACAGAACCTTAAAGTTGGACATACACAGCAGCACTCCATCATTACACGGACATGGTATATACAACATCAGGCCTGAGCAAGACCTGAAGGTACAAGTAAGGTGCATGAGGAAGTGGCCCAAATGCCCATGATCTCCACTTCTGTCACATTACCTTGCATCTCCCAGTCTGCACCTATGGCCTCATGGGGAGTTCCTTATGATCAGTTGACTGAAAAAGAGAAAACTCGTGCCTGGTTTACAGGTGGTTCTGTGCGATATGCAGGCACCACTTGAAAGTGGACAGCGGCAGTAGTACCGCCCCTTTCTGGTACCTCCCTGAAGGATGGTGGTAATACAAAATCCTCCCAATGGGCAGAATGTTGAGCAGTGCACCTGGTTGTTAACTTTGCTTAGATGGTGAAATGGCTGGATGTGCGACTGTGTACTGATTCATGGGCTATGGCCAATGGTTTGTCTGGATGATCAGGGACTTTAAGGAATATGATTGGAAAATTGGAGACAAGGAGGTGTGAGGAAGAGGTATGTAGATAGAAATTCTCTGAAGAGCCAAAGAAGGGAAGATATCTATGTCTCATGTGAATGTTCACCAAACGGTAAGCTTGGTAGAGGAGGATTTTATCAATCAAGTGGATACAATGACGCATTCTGTGGAAACCAGTCATCCTTTTTCCCCAGCCCCTCCCGTCATTGCCCAATGAGCTCATGAACAAAGTGGCCATGGTGGCAGGGATGAAGGTTATTCATGGGCTCAGCAACATGGACTTCCACTTGCCAAAGCTGGCTTTGCTACAGCCACTGTTGAGTGCCCAATCTGCCAGCAGCAGAGGCCAACACTGAGTCCCCAGTATGGCCCAATTCCTTGAGGTGATCAGCCAGCAACCTGGTGGCAGGTTGATTATGTTGGACTACTCCCATCATGGAAAGGGCAGCATTTTGTTCTCACTGGGATGGACACTTACTCTGGATATGGATTTGCTTTCCCTGTACATAATGCTTCTGCCAAAATTACTCTCCTTGGGCTTGTGGAATGCCTTATCCACCATCATATTATCCTGCACAGCATTCTCTTGGATCAAGGGTCTCACTTCACAGCAAATGAAATGTGGCAATGAACCCATGCTCATGGAATTCACTCATCTTACTATGTTCCCCATCATCCTGAAGCAAC